GGTACTCGCACCCATTTTGATCCTCGGACTCACACTCTCTCTTGCATCGATCTCTCAGTCTGCTCTTCCTCCACCACATTAGACTTCACTTGGTCTGTTCTCCCGGACTTACATGACAGCAATCATTTCCCAATCATTCTTACTTCCCCTTCATATTCACCACGTCTTCGTAACGCACGCTGGCAATTTGATCACGCAAATTGGAACCTTTACTCACACCTAACTGTTTTTAGAGAGGTTCCTTCTTCGTCCTCCATCGATGAGCTTTTACACCTCTTCTCGTCCTACGTTTTAACCGCAGCTTCTAATTGTATACCCCAAACTTCGGGCAGGCATTCTCAGAAATGCGTACCTTGGTGGTCTCCTGCTTGTGCTCGTGCAGTATGTTTGAAACGCACTGCATGGGGCAGGTACCGGTACAATAGAACCATGGAGAGACTTCTTGATTTTAAGCAGAAGCATGCGATCACTCGCCGTGTCATCCGTGACGCTAAACGCACTTGCTGGCGAGATTATGTCTCCACCATCACATCTGCTTCCTCTATGAGTGCAGTCTGGAAAAAAGTACGAAAACTGAGTGGTAAATATTCTCCTGACCCGGCTCCTGTTTTGCAGGTTGCCGGTGTTGATATAGCAAACCCACTAGAGGTTGCCAATAAAATTGGCAATCATCTGGTCCGTATTTCTCAGGGACTTCATCTATGCCCCTCGTTTCTTTCCTCAAAGTCTGCCAGAGAGTTAGCACCCTTGGACTTTTCTTCTCTCAGAGAAGAACAGTATAATGTGCCTTTTACACTTCAAGAACTGGAGACAACACTCTCAGCTTGCCGATCATCGGCAACTGGGCCCGACGACATTCATATTCGTATGTTACAACATTTGCATCAGTCAGCCCTTGCAGTCCTATTACGCCTTTACAATCTTATTTGGTCACAAGGAGTTCTTCCACAGCTGTGGAAATCTGCCATTGTTCTCCCTTTCCGCAAACCAGGCACTACGGGACATGAAGCCTCCCACTATCGTCCTATTGCTCTTACCAGTGCAGTTTGCAAAGTGATGGAACGCCTGGTAAATAGACGTTTAGTGAGGTATTTAGAGACACACAACAGTCTCTCCACTCGTCAATATGGCTTTCGTAAGGGACGTTCTACCATAGACCCCTTACTACGCTTGGATACGTATGTTCGTAATGATTTGCGAATAACCACTCAGTTATTGCCATATTTTTTGACCTTGAGAAGGCATGTGACACAACTTGGAGGTATAATATTTTAGCCCAAGCCCACTCCTTAGGCCTTCGAGGCAATCTACCATCCTTCCTTAAGAACTTTTAACTGACAGGCATTTCGTGTTCGGGTTAATAATGTGCTCTCCCCGAACTTTATCCAAGCTGAAGGTGTCCCCCAGGGATGTGTTCTGAGCATAACAATTTTTCTCCTTGCTATTAATGATTTGGCCTCTAGTCTTACATCAAATATTTGGTCATCACTCTATGTTGATGACTTCGCTATTGCCTGTGCAGGTGCTGACTGTCACCTCATTACAGTTTCTCTCCAGCATGCGGTCGACCATGTTTCCAATTGGGCCACCACACATGGGTTTAAATTTTCCAGCACTAAAACCCACCAAATTACTTTCACTAGACGCTCTGTCATCTCTGGTCATCCTTTGTACCTCTATGGCTCCCGTATCCCTGAACGTGATACAGTCAAGTTTCTGGGCCTCCTCTTTGATCGTAGGTTATCCTGGAAACCTCACATTACCTCTCTGAAGGCAACTTGTCACAGCCGGCTGAACCTTCTTAAAACCCTTGCTCATCTTTCATGGCGAGCTGATCGTCGAACCCTCCTTCGCCTACATTCCACCCTCATTTTATCGAAACTTGATTATGGTGACCAGATCTATTCAGCGGCATCTCCTGCTACTCTCTCTAGCCTTAACCCCATTCATCACCAAGGATTACGTTCATGCCTTGGTGCTTTTCGCTCTTCCCCTGTCGAGAGCCTCTATGCAGAAGCGAACGTTCCATCCTTATCCGATCGCCGTGATGCCCATTGCCTTCGCTACTATGTACGCTCTCATGACCTCCGCAATCCTTCCATTTATAGAATGGTCACTGATATTAGTAGACATTCTTTATTTGTTCGCCGCCCCTGTTTACTCCGTCCCTTCTCTCTCTTCGCCTTCATTCGCTCTTGTCTTCTCTTCAATTACCACCTTTCTATGTTCATGTAGCATCTCACTTTTCCCTACCTCCCTGGGAAGTTCCAGCTGTTCGAGTCTGTTCTTTCTCTCTCCCTTGCTCGAAAGCCCAACTGTCTACGGTCGCTTCCCGCTCTCTTTTTCTTGACCACTTCCACTCTCATTCTCATGCCATTGCTGTGTACACAGATGGCTCTAAGTCTTCTGACGGCGTAGGATTCGCAGCAGTGTTTCCAGACAGCGTCGTACGAGGGCATTTTACTATCTTCGGCTAGTATTTTTACTGCTGAATTGTATGCCATCCTTGCAGCACTTATCCTTATTGCATCTATGCCTGTGTCATCATTTGTGGTTGTCTCAGACTCCCTTAGTGCTTTACAGGCTATACAGAAATTTGATACACCTCACCCCTTAGTCCTCCATATCCAACTTTGGCTACGCCGCATCTTTACCAAGCATAAAGATATTGTTTTTTGTTGGGTCCCTGGTCATGTTGACGTACAGGGCAATGAACAGGCAGACACTGCTGCACGGTCAGCAGTACATAACCTACCAGTTTCATATAGAGGTATTCCATGTATTGACTAGTTTGCTGCAATATCTTCCCACCTTCACACCCGTTGCAACAACGTTAGTCTACTATGCTCGGCAACAAACTTCAATCTATTAAACCGAGTATAAGTTACTGGCCGTCTTCTTATCACCAGTGTCGAGGTTGGGAGACTACTCTCTCCCGTCTTCGCATTGGCAATACTCGTCTTACTCATGGATATCTCATGGAGAGGCGCCCTGCTCCTCTCTGTGAGAATTGCCAAGCTCCATTATCAGCCAGCCACATTCTGTTGGACTGCCCACTTTATCAACGAGCACGCAGAATTTACCTCTGTCGTCGTCTTCGCTCCGCTGCTCTCTCTTTACCTGCCTTCTCGCTGATGGACCCACCTTTCATCCGGACTCTCTCATTGACTTTTTGACAACAACTGACTTCACAAATTCTGATACCTTTAGCCCTTTCTACTTCAATCTCTTGCTACCCTCTACTCCTGCACTATCCCCTGCCCCGCTGTTTTCTGTAACCTACTGATCATCCCTCCTCCCTTCTACCATCCAATACCCTCGCTTCCTTCCCTACCCAGCAGCGCTGTATAGCCCTTGTGGCTTAGCGCTTCTTTTTGATAATAATAATAATAATAATAATAATAATAATAATAATAATCTTTATTTCTGACTCATGTAATCATAACATGTTTGAAAACAAACCAGGGAACAGGTGGGGCTTGAACCCATGATGGTAGCTGTGAAGGAACTTGAGCTAGAGTTCGCCACAGCCACGCTGGTGTGAGATTCGTCTGAAAAAAACTTGCACTTATTCCCTCTCTATGGTGTATAGAAATATACCTTGAGAGAATTTTAAGGAAATATATCTAAAAATCTAATAAAAAATGAAAACTCTTTTGTACTCATTAATTTAAAATCAATTCAAAAAAATGTATATAGATAAGTACATTTATTCTCTACACGTGAATAATTTTTAGCATAATGTAGGATTTCTTTTTTAATAGTTCGACTCTTTTATTTAGTCTTTTGAAATGCTATGATTGAGGGGCTACTGATGACTGGAGAATAATCTTACACATCACGTAGCTAAAGAAATGTATCTAGTTTCTATGACATTTATTCACAGATAGTTTAAGCATAGATAAAATATTTTTCACAAACAGATGTCTAACCGCTGTGGATCTTACAGCTCTGTTTACAATATTATAAAATAAATCACAGAGGTTTGTAAATGAGTTGAATATGCTCTAAGGTCGATATGATATAGACTAGAATACGGAGCACAGTTTACTTCCCAAGTACTCTTGTTATTATACTTTATTCAGTTTACCTCCAAGTGCTCTTGTTATTATACTACACACAGTTTACCTCCCACAATTAATGCTATGTCACTTAACACAGTTTACCTCCTACTACTACTGTTAACCCCCTTTACACAGTTAACCTCCCAGTAATATAGTTTCGCTATTTTTTACACACTACTTGTGTTATCATGCTACATTACTTTCAAAATTTGTTGTTTAACATTATATAATTTCTGGTCCACTAGTAGGTCTAATGTACACAAATAACCCGCACATAAAAGAGAGAAGCTTACGACGACGTTTCGGTCCGACTTGGACCATTTACAAAGTCACACTAACCAGAAGTGGAGCAGGACGGCTATATATAGGCAGGAAGAGGTGGTGGTAGTAGTAGTAGTAGTACAAGAATGGTATATAATACCGACAAGATGAAATTAAGACACATGCGCAACATCTTGTCGGTATTATATACCATTCTTGTACTGCTACTACTACTACTACCACCACCTCTTCCTGCCTATATATAGCCGTCCTGCTCCACTTCTGGTTAGTGTGACTTTGTAAATGGTCCAAGTCGGACCGAAACGTCGTCGTAAGCTTCTCTCTTTTATGTGCGGGTTATTTGTGTATCGTTCCAGTCACGGTATTGTGCCTTTTTTGTTATTTAGGTCTAATGTAATTGGCCAAAATAATTCATTCCCTACTACTGCAAGTATATTTGACACATTTTATTACACATGACACAGAAGGTTGCATGTACTTTGAGAGTGCTCTTAAAGTGACCCATATTATTATTATTATAATCAAAAAGAAGCGCTAAGCCACAAGGGCTATACAGCAAAAAGTGACCCATAGATTAATGTTTACAACTATTTCAGTTATATTTGAACAACTAGACTACTGTTTATGTATAATGTTATCCAATGTTCCCAGCAGGTAGCACCAAGTCTCCCACCAGATGTAGCCACATGTCTGTTGCAACAGACGACAATGGTTGCATCGTCCTCCGTCCTGTGTGGGAGCATTTGCTTTAATAATCCCAACTGCACACTCTTCTGTGTCTTGGGTAGGTGTAAGTGTAACTAGCACAGTCCAACATCTTCCTGTTCTCTCTCAAGTGTGTTTTAACTGGGAGTGAACTAACTTCATGTGGAGCTTCAGATAACCAAAGGGATCAAACCATACCACGGGCGGGATTGAACCCGCAGGTCGAGAGTCTCAAAACTCCAGACCGTCGCGTTAGCTACTGGACCAGCTAGCCACAATAAGATTCGTCCAATTAGGTATATTTCTACACCATAGGAAGGTTAGCATAGGCACCACTGTGACCACAAATGCAAGTTTTTACAGACGAATCTCCAGCTAGCGTGGCCGGTGACGAACTCTAGCTCAAGTCCCTCAATGCCGTCAATGAGACTCTCTGACCGCGGGTTCAATCCCGCCCGTGGTATGGTTTGTTTGCAATCGTGTCATTACGATTTCGTGAGTCAAAGGGATCATTAAGAAAAAATACAGTGGTACCTCGGGATACGAACAGCTCTAAACTCGAATAATTATGTAAGTGCCTTTGTAAGTGCTTTTTTGGTGGTCTGAAACCGATTAATCTGATTTACATTATTCCTTATAGGAACAAATTCGCTCGGTATCGGCACTCGAACAGCCTTCTTAAACGAAAAAAATTCGTATCCCGAGGTACCACTATTGACTCCAAGTTGAATATTTTAATTTATAAATAAGAATATGCTTACATTTATATGATAACTGTAGAATAATTTACTGAGATTATATATGGAAAAAGGGCGGAAAAATGCGCATGAAAAATGAAAGATGAGACATAAAACATTACGCTATTTATATACAAAACGAAGTTCAAACATGCAAGTACTTAAGACCAAATGTACTGTATAAGACACAAGAGAATTACTACCTATAATAATATGACATTTCCCCAATTAATTTCACCACTGATGAATAATTCAAGACAACTCAAAATTATCTGAATATATAATGTTACAAAATAGTACATTTGACTTACTGGCCAAGTTACAAAGAAGCTTCATGGGTAAATTTAAAGGTTTAATAATAATTTCTCACCCTGTGGTTTTTTTATTAACACATCGGCCGTCTCCCACCACGGCAGGGTGGGCTGAAAAAGAAAAACTTAAATCATTCACTTGCCAGAGGTGCGTTTAAACTACAACATTAACATTAAACTACAACATTAACATTAAACTGCAACATTAACACCCCTCCTTCATAGTGCAGTCACTGTGCTTCCCATCTCCAGGACTCAAGTCCAGCCTGCCGGTTTCCCTGAATCCCTTCATAAATGTTACCTTGCTCACACTCAACACCAAGACCTCACGTACTGTCAAAGTCAAGTGTTTTTGGTTCTCACTACTGATAAAATAATACTAAATCGATTTTTTCATGAAGCAATATACTGTAATATGCCTTATTTTCATCCTCCCCCCCAAAAAAAAATAAAGATTGGAAGTTTTTGATATTTAGTAAAATCTATGCGTATTTCCCATCCCTCACAAATGTAACAAATTAGGGTTATTACGAAAATATGTTCACCACTTTGTAAAATATTGATTACTGAATGCTTATTGTGAAAAAAAAATCAGTTGGTCTGTTATTAATAGATGGTGACCAATAAATATGTCAATAACTTCCCAGAAATCATGGAAAACGGGACAAAGCTTATTTGTCAATAATTTTTTTTTTTGAGACAGAATCACACTATGAGTCTTGTCCCGTATCTCCATTGTTAGGTCAGTCAATTCACATCCTGGTACGTATTTCTTTAATTAAGACACCCGCTGTCCATGTTCACCTATCAATAAATCAAGTACTTGGGTGTTAGTCGGTTGGTGTGGGTCGCATCCTGGTACAAAATTGACTAATTTGCCCGAAATGCTTTCGGGCTTTCTATATAGTTGTATGCCATTAATGGTCTGCATACCTATATGGTCTGTATACCTATATGGTCTGTATACCTATATGTACTTATAGAAATAAGGAATTATTATTATTATTATTATTATTATTATTATTATTATTATATGTTGTCCCCCGTGGCCTGGTAGACAGCGTAGTCTGGTAGGTGTTCATAGTCTGATCCCCGACAAGAGTGGAAACACTGGACTTGTTTCTTAACCTGCTGTCTCTGTTCACATGGCAAGTTGGTTCTTTGGTGCTACAGTTACCCATAGCGATACACACATTTTTTCGGGATGCCCCGTGGCTTGGTGGATAAAGCTCTCGCTTCATACGTTGAGAGTCAGGGTTCGATTCCCAGAGAAGGAAGAAACATTTGGCGTGTTTCTTTACACCAGTTGTCTATGTTCACTTGTCAGCAAATTAGGTACCTAGGAGTTAGTCGACTAGTGTGGGTCGCATCCTGGGACAAAACTGCCCTAATTTGCCCAAATGCTTTGCATAACAAGCGGTTTTGTATACAATAGTATGTCACTGATGTCAGCTATGGCCTGTATACCTTGTACATGTACTTTCAGAAAATAAAGATATTATTATTATTATTATTATTATTATTATTATTATTATTATTATTATTAATGTTATTGGACCAGAGAGTGTTTACTGCTATACACTGCGTCTCACCACACCTTGTATATCAGTTTTTATTCACTTAGGAATCTTTATTATGTATGTACGGTATTTTTCGTAAGTCTTATATTATTTTGGAAGACATGTGATAGATAAATAAAAACAGCTATAAAAAATACCGTAAATATTAATTTTATAGAATGAGGGACATGATTCATGCGTCATGGTGTTTCCACAACTATTAAGACTTCTCCTCTGAGCCTTTCCTTGTCTGTCTTACCTCTTCCCACTTTGTAATGATGCCAAATTGTAGTTTTTATTGTATTAGGAAGAACATAAAAAAAATAACAAAGTAGAAAGAAACAGTTTACTAATGAGAAATAACAAGAATTTTAATACAGTGGAACCTCAGCTTACGAATGCCCTACCACGTGAATTTTTCGGGATACGAACAGTCAGTCGGTGTGTTGAATTTTTGCTTCTGGATACGAACAAAATATCAGGATGCAAACTTTCCCTTCAAGAGAGATTCCTTGGTGAGGGGCTCTTGATCTATGGAATTGGATCTGTTCTCCAGTTGCCTAAATTAGTAATAATAATAATGACAATAATAATAATTGTTATAATACATATGTACTACTAATAATAATTATAAAACGTATATATTATTACTACTACTAATTATTATTATAATAATAATTATAATAATGAAGAAGACTGCCAGTAGTTGGCGCCACTATCAGCAAGACATTGGTAACCACATGTTTACCTCGGCCTGGGAGGAGATATTGTCGTAATTTCCTTCCATTTTCTGCAGTTATGTTGCCAAAATTCTTGTTTCTAACCATGGGACCGAAGAAAGTAAATGCAAAGGACAGTGCTGAGAAGAAAAACAGGATGAATTGTCCATGGAATTAGAGCATGAAATCATAGATAAACACAAGCTTGGTGTGGCCAGGCAGTACCAGCATAATGCTTCTACGATATTTACGATGCTAATTAAGACCGTAGCAAGTAAATAAGTGAAAAGTGAAGTGAACAAGAAATAAAACAATTGTAGCAGTTAAGTTCAGCGATAAAGTGTAGCAAGTAAGTTAAGTGACTAATAGAAAAAGGACCACATGAAACTAACTTCCACCATCTTCAAGCTCTGCCAGCATCTGCTCCAATAACCATTTTATTTCATTACATTCTCTATTTCTTATTTATAAATTAAGTACATTATTTCAGCGATTTCCTTATGAAACTGTGATCTAGTGCAGTTAGCCTCACAAACACTCCGTTTTCTCTTATAATAAGAGCATGGGAGAGTAAATGGCAGTTGCTGGCGCCCTCGCCATCACTCTCCATATTGCGGCTTATTTTATTAATTCTAGAGTATATATCATGTTTCTATATTATTTATATTGTTTATAATGTCATATTAAATGAATTGTGATAGATAAATAAGATGTAGAGTTGATATTAGCGTCATATTGAAGTGTATTTTGTCGTGCCTCCTGAGAGCAGGAATTCCACTGTAACGGATTAATGGCTTTTCAGGAAAATTGACTCAGCATTCAAACAAATCAGGATACGAACAAGCTCACAGAATGGATTAAATTCGTTAGCCGAGGTTCCACTGTAATTCAAAATTTGTATTTCACATTTTGCAACATCTTTGATCCGTATTCCCTCGAACGCAGGCGAGAGAGATACATGATAATATACACTTGGAAGGTCCTGGAGGGATTGGTACCAAACCTGCACACGAAAACCACTCTATATGAAAGCAAAAGACTCGGCAGGAGATGCAACATTCCCCCGATGAAAAGCAGGGGTGCCACGAGTACACTGAGAGACAACACAATAAGTGTCCGGGGCCCAAGACTGTTCAATTGCCTCCCAGCATAAGGGGGATTACCAATAGACCCCTGACTGTCTTAAAGAAGGCACTGGACAGGCACCTAAAGTCAGTACCTGACCAACCGGGCTGTGGTTCATACGTCAGCTTGCGTGCGGTCATCAGTAACAACCTGGTTGATTAGACCCTGATCCACCATGAGGCCTGGTCTCAGACCGGGCCGCGGGGGCGTCGACACCCGAAACCCTCTCCAGGTAAACTCCAGGTATCCAATATTTTCTGTACACTCGACTGTGATGGATAGAATGAAACTTGAGACATTCCCAGTAATGTTTTGGGGGATTCCAGACTGTGACATTTGTCATATTTTTAATATAAATTTTCTCACCGCCATTATAAAGTTCGTCTCCCATGTAGCCAAGTCAGTGCTCAAAAAAAAAAAAAGAGAATACAAGTAGGTATGTTTTTTCCTGAGTAGGAGAGAATCTAGCAGAAGGTGAAGCGAATACAGGTGAACATTTTGTTATTGGAAAGTAATTAAGAAATCTCGTAGTCAGAAAAAATAATTATTATCTTTGTGTTTCAGATAATGTGTGCAGCTTGTTCAGTGCTCTAGTGTCTAACTTATGGCCGGGCAGCTCAGCAGTCAACGCTCTACACTTCAACAAGTGTTTCAGTATTCTCCCACCAGCCAACAACATTCCTTCTTACTCAAGTGTTACAAGTAGTGGGCTAAATCCACTTAATGCTATCAAAGGCTACAGTTGTTCCAACCAATCCTGTTTCTTGGTTACCTCTGGTTACCAGAACGTTTGGCAGCTTGAATTTCCGCAGAGTCTCACTTACACCCGCGTCATTATTAAACAAGACCCAAGTATTCTCTTCCATGTTGAGGTGCGGGTTGGAAATAATTCCAACTCTAGTAACAACAACAGGTATGGTTACATCTTTCCACCTCCAAATGGCTTAATAATAATTGACCTTCCTAATACAGCTATAGGAAGATTCTTCACACTTGTTGGAGAATATTATACGTTGAACCTCTGCTACGTCCAGATCTACATCCAGTGAGGAAAGATGACTTATTACTGTTGAAGGATCTATGCAGTTATAAAGTTTCTTTCCTATCAACTTTATTTGAAGTTAGGCTATATATAGCCAATACTTAAGAACATAAGAAAGAAAGAACACTGCAACAGGTCTACTGACCCATGCGGAGCAGGTCCATGTCCCCTCCCCCCGGATTAGCTCAATGACCCACCCTCCCGGATTAGCCCAATGACCCACCCAGTCTGGTCACCTCCACTCAAGGATGGAGCACGGCACTAGACCCAGCAGCACAAGCTAGTCAGGTCCAACTCACACCCACCCACACCCACTCATGAATTTATCTAACCTATTTTTAAAACTACACAACGTTTTAGCCTGAATAACTGTATTCGGGAGTTTGTTCCACTCATCCACGACTCTATTACCAGTCCATTGCTTTCCTATATCCTTCCTGAATCTGAATTTTTCCAACTTAAAACCATTGCTGCGAGTCCTGTCTTGGCTGGAAATTTTCAGCACGCTATTTACATTCCCTTTATTTATTCCTGTTTTCCATTTAAACACCTCGATCATATCTCCCCTAATTCTAAGCCTTTCGAGATAGTGCAGATACAGGGCCTTCAGTCTATCCTCATAGGGAAGATTTCTGATACATGGGATCATCTTTGTCATCCTCCTTTGTACGTTTTCCAGAGCATTTATATCCATTCTGTAATACGGTGACCAGAACTGAGCAGCATAGTCTAAATGGGGCCTAACCAAGGATATATAGAGTTGAAGAACAACCTGAGGACTTCTATTATTTATTCTTCTAGATATGAAGCCAAGAATTCTGTTAGCTTTATTGCGAACACTAATACACTGTTGTCTTGGTTTTAGATTACTGCTAACCAGAACTCCTAAATCCTTTTCGCAATTAGTAGTATTAAGATCTACATTATTTAGTTTATATGTGGCATTTAACTGTCCAACATTTAGAACTTTGCATTTGTCAATATTAAACTGCATCTGCCACTTCTCCGACCATTGCATCAGTCCATTCAAATCATCCTGGAGTGCTCTAGTGTCCTCATTAGAATGAATTGGACGGCCTATTTTGGTGTCATCAGCAAATTTGTTTATGTCGCTATTTATTCCCTCATCTATGTCGTTTATATAAATTGTGAACAACAACGGGCCCAACACTGACCCCTGAGGAACACTGCTTGTGACGTGCCCCCATTCTGATTTCTCCCCATTTATGCAAACTCTCTGCTGCCTATTTGTCAACCATGCCTCTACCCAGGAAAAACATTCTCCTCCTATTCCGTGTGCCTTAAGTTTCCTCAATAGCCTCTGGTGTGGAACTCTATCGAAAGCCTTACTGAAGTCCATATGCACAAAATCATATTCATTACCATGATCTACCTCCTCAAACACCTTAGTGAAACAAGTTAGTAAATTCGTAAGACAGGAACGCCCCTTTGTAAAACCGTGTTGAGATTCATTAATCAATCTGTGCCTATCAAGATGGCTACGAATTGCTTCGGCAATTATTGATTCCATAAATTTTCCCACTATGGAGGTAAGGCTTATTGGTCTATAGTTCGAAGCCAAGGACCCGTCACCTGCCTTGTAAATAGGTATTACAGTTGCCATTTTCTGCTTATCAGGCACTATGCCAAAGGTATGCTAAGTTCTTCTTTACATTCCTTTAAAACCCTTGCAAACAATTCATCAGGACCTGGGGATTTGTTAGGTTTTAGTTTCTCTATTTGTCTGAGGACCATGTCACTAGTTACTACAATCGTACATAGTTTATTATCCTCTTCTACATAATCTATTATTTCAGGAATATCGCTAGTATTTTCTGGGTGAAAACTGAGAGGAAATAGGTATTGAGAATTTCACACATGTCCTTATCACTGTTAGTGATCTGACCAGAGTTACTCTTAAGTGGGCCAATCTTGTCCCTAATCTTCTGTATACCTGAAAGAACACTTTTGGATTAGTCTTTGAATCCCTTGCGACCTTAGCCTCATAATCCCTTTTTGCTTTTCTTATTCCTTTCTTTATTTCTCTCTCTAATTTAATATATTGATTTCTTAACTGCCCATCCTCACTTTTGATACGCCTATATATGCCTCTCTTTTGACCAATGAGATGTTTTAATCTATTGTTCATCCATTTGGGATCATTTTTGTTAGATCTAATTTCCCTACTCGGAACAAAAGTTGTCTGGGCAGCTAGAACTATGCTCTGAAAAACGTCATATTGGCAACCAAGATCACCTACCTGACCCATAGTTAGGACATCCCAATTTAGCCCACACAGGTAATTTTTCAGTCCCAGAAAGTCGGCCAAGCGAAAATCTGGTACAGAGATTTGATTGCAGTTATCTGGGTAATTCCATGATATATTGAAACTATGTGATTTGTGATCACTTTTCCAAAGCTCATCATTAACCTCAAGATTATTAATTAGTGAATCTTTGTTGGCAAGAAACAAGTCAAGCAGATTGTTTCCTCTAGTTGGTTTCATCACAGCCTGTTCTAGAAAGCAATCCTGAACCGTATCAAAAAAATCACTAGACTCAAGATTTACTGTCATATTGTTCCAATCAATTTGTCTAAAGTTAAAATCTCCCATTATCACAACATTTTCATATCTAGATGCCTTATGAATTTCGTCTCATAACAGCTTACTGCACTCCCTATCAAGGTTTGGGGGCCTATAAATCACACCCAAAATCAATTTGTCACGTCCCTCGAGAAACTGTAGCCAAACAGATTCTGTGTTCGATATTTCTAATCTTATGTCTAAGACAACAATTTAAATTTTCTCTGACATACATCGCCACACCACCACCCTTCCTGTTGACCCTGTCAGTGTGGCATAGTTTATAACCCTGTATGTTGCATTCAGAAGGCATTTCTCTATCTTTCAGGTTGAACCAGGTCTCTATTATACCAATAATATCTATATTACCTACACTTGCAAGTAATTTTAGCTCATCTATCTTATTTCTTAGACTCCTACTATTTGTATAGTAAACCTTAGGGGAGCTAGTCACTCGTTACTCTCTACTATCTCTCTTTGTTTGTTGATCAGTTAATTTGCCATTACTAGCAACTTCGTTTTGAATATTGTCTTTTAAACATATCCCTGAGGTATCCCGGTAATAACTGCTGTTTTTAACCCTAATGCTGCAGCCTGATTGTTTCCCACAAACACCCATGCCTCTATAATCAATCAGTTTAAATTCCTAGACAAGTCATCAATTACCCTATCAATTGAATTGGCTAATGCAACCACTCCATCCCCAGAGAGATGAACCCCATCCCTTGTATACATATCACGTTTGCCAAAGAATAGGTCCCAGTTATCAATGAATGAGATTTCAAGTTCCTTGCAGTACCTGTCTAGCCAGCAATTTATACCAATTGCCCTAGACATCCATTCATTGCCCACTCCCCTTTCTAGGCAAGATGCTACATATGACTGGGATCCCTCCCTTAGACCTAACTACTTCTATGGCTGGCCTGTACTTATCCAGCAGCTCCTCTCTCCTGCCCTTCCCAATGCCATTACCCCCAGCTTTAAGACAGATAATGGGCTCGTTCCCATTACACGCCATAATATCCAACCTGCTGACTATGTCACCAACACCAGCTCCAGGAAGGCACACTCTCTGTCTGACCTTTCTTTCTCTGTTACAAAATGCACAGTCCATATATCTTACCTGAGAATCGCCTACTATTAAAATATTCTTACCTTGATTAGCAAGGAAATCAGTGGCACCTTCAACCTCACTAACCACTGAAGTACACTCGTCTTGGAGAACAGAGAATCGATTTCCTACCTTCACATCTTCTCTATTAACTCTCCTCATCTTCCTTCTTCTGAACTGTGAACCACTGCAGGACGGCTATATATAGGCAGGAAGAGGTGGAGGAGTAGTAGTAGTAGTGCAAGAATGGTATATAATACCGACAAGATGAAATTAATACATATGCGCCAAACCCGGGCATCCCTATCGTAGACGTTTCGCCATCCAGTCAGCCACTGGATGGCGAAACGTCCACAACAAAGACAACCAGACTCCGCACATGTGTCTCAATTTCATCAGTAGTAGTAGTAGTAGTTGTAGTAGTAGAAGAAGAGGTAGTAGTAGTGGTAGTGGTAGAAGTGGGGAATAAGGAGGACGAGCCAGTCAAATACAAAGGAAGGGGAGCCCGGGTCTACGATAGGGATGCCCGGGTGTTGCGCATGTGTCTTAATTTCATCTTGTCGGTATTATATATCATTCTTATACTACTACTACCACCACCTCTTCCTGCCTATATATAGCCGTCCTGCTCCACTTCTGGTTAGTGTGACTCTGTAAATGGTCCCAGTCGGACCGAAACGTCGTCGTAAGCTTCTCTCTTCTATGTGCAGGTTATTTGTGTATCGTTCCAGTCACAGTATTGTGCTTTTTTTGTTATTATTGTATACAATTACATTTGCTATGGGTACACTGTAGACTGTCTAAGAACTGTTGGGATTATTGCATATAATTACATTTATATATTCTTTTGAGTATATTTGTTGCTCTGTCTAAAAGCAGTCGGGATAATGCTCTTTAACGAATATATTTGGCATTTGCATCGTGTAAATATATAACTAAACTAAACATAGGTTACGATTCTTAAGTCGGAGTCATTAAGGAAGGTGAATTTAATTGTGTACTTAATTACTGTGTATCAGCTTAAATTGGCTCTCACTGTGTATACCCTATTTATTATTTTTGTATCCCTATTTAACTGTAAGGTCCATTAAGTATAACGTGTCCACTTGATTGTTTGAAATATAGTTTTTGTTTAGAAATAAATGTTGCAGCTTAATCAAGATCACATTCCATTACTTGCTAACTTTTTTGTGCTGCTAATCTACAATCATTAATTATTAAAAGTGCTCTAGTGTCCTCGTCAATTTCTTCCCTGGTTTATGTCGTTTATGTATACTGTGAACAATATAAGGCCCGACACTGTTCCCTGTGG